AGGTGGACACCGCCAGGTGCCTGTGTGGGGTGACTGAGGTGGACACCGCCAGGTGCCTGTGTGGGGTGACTGAGGTGGACACCGCCAGGTGCCTGTGTGGGGTGACTGAGGTGGACACCGCCAGGTGTCCGCGTTCCTCGGGGGTCTCCACCTGGAGTGTGTCTGCAAGTCTGGGCCGGGCATGACAACGAGGTTGCCATCTGGTCTCTTCAGCCTCTGCCTTGACCTTCACACTCACCAGCCCCAAGGTGGCAAAGGGTGTCCCGAGCTGCAAAGCTGTTTACAGGCTCATACCTCTCGTTCTAGCTGAAGCAGGAGGATTGCTGTGAGTTCAGAGTGAGTCAGACTAGAGTCGGGCGACGTCATCAGTAGCTCGGTCGGCAAGCAGAAGGCATGTTGGAGCACACCTGCCACTCCACCTTGCGGGCGGGTCAAGGAGGTCAAGGTCATTCTCAGCCACAGAGGGAATTTCAGGCTAGCCTGGGCAACCTGAGATCCTGTCTCAAAAAGGACAAACAAAACCCAGGGGTTAGAAGACGGCTCAGGAGTTAAGACTGATTACTGTATAAAGAGGAGGGCCTGGGTTCAAAACCCCAGCACCCGCGAAGTGTGAGCTGAGCGTGCAGGGCAAGAGGGGCTGTGACCCCGGAACTGCGGGGAGTGGAGACCGGGGGGTCGCCCGGAGACCGGGGGGTCGCTGGGGTTTGCTGGCCGAGAGCCCTGCTCCAATGTTAGGGAGAGTCGGTGTCAAAGGCCCAGAGTGCTGAAACTGAACACCCGTGTCCTCTGGCCCCGTAGGTGCAGGCGTGCACACGGACACGGACACGGACACATGCACGCACGCACGCACGCGCGCGCGCACACACACACACACACACTCACCCACGGAAGAAATCAGGAGGGAGGCACACCCTAGAATCCCAGCACTCAGGAGGGTCACAAGTTCAAATCCAAACTGGTTTGCCTAGGGAGTCCAGGCCAGGGAGACCCTGTCTCAAAACAGTCAGGATGGCTCAGTGGCCCGGCCTGTAATCCCAGCACTGGGAGGCAGAGCCAGGCAGATCTCTGTGAGTTCGAGGCCAGCCTGGGCTACAGAGTGAGATACAGGACAGCCAGGGCTACATGGTGAGACCCTGCCTCAAAATAGCCATCACAAAAAGCTGGTTCAAAGAGTGAAGGTGTGTGCAGCCAGGACGCCGCAGAGACGCAGTAGAAGGAGACCTGACTCTTGCAAGTTGATCCTACACTAGCTGCGGCACATACACAAACATGTGTCCAAAAGACGGGGGGACTTTTCTCCTCTCCCTCCCGGGTAAACACCCGGCTTCCGGCGTAGATGGGCCACAGCTGCCATGAGATTTCCAGTCCACGAGGGTAATACTGGCATGGGTCTCGGGTGTTTTGTGCTCTGGGGTCTTAGGCTAGAGGGTCTGGGGTCTTCTCTCTTGAACCTAGAACCTCCCATCTGGGGGCCTCCAAAGTAGCTACCTCACTCCTCCTTGAAAGGCCCTTGGGTCCCATGGAGTCCCTTGCGGATTTGGGGGAATTAGTGGACAAGCTTGGTGTGGGGGATCCCAGTGACCAAGGATGATCTAGTTTGTCCTCACCTAAACCAGCTCGTGGTTTAGACAACAAAATACACAAATAAGGGTCTGGAGAGACGGCTCAGCAGTTAAGAGCACTGGCTGCTCTTCCAGAGAACCAGGGTTCAGTTCCCAGCACCCACAGGGAGCTCACGCCTGTCTGTAACTCCAGTTGCAGAGGACCTGACGCCCTCTTCTGGCCTCTTTGGGTACTGCACACACGGTACACAGACACGGCAGGTGGAACACGCACTCGTATAAAATAAATATATTTAAAAATACACAGATAAATAGTCTATAGCTAGAAAATATGGGGGTGCTATAGGGGACACTAGGTCTCCTGAGATCACCCCCGTCCTTACATCTGCTCCAGACCCCTTCAGGTGACATCACACAGTGAGGCCCCGGCAGATCACTGGCCGCAGAAGCCGTTCTTTTCCTCACTGTAGCTGTCCAGTGCCAATGAGGGGGGGACTGACCTGGCCCTGGCCTCTGGCAGTTCCCCGAGGATGCTCCTAGGTTGGGCGGGGCATGGGACCCTGTGTTCTCACCAAGAGCTGGCAGGAGGGAGTGGGGGTGGACAGCACTGACCTTGGCCGAGGCCTGACCCCTCCTGTTGGGCCACTGTGGCCTGGGCTGGGTGAATCAAAGGACCATTGTGTGGTTGGCGCGGGTCCAGGGCCCCTCTCTGTCCTGCTCCCACATACTGGGAACCCATGGGTTCCCCAGGGACACCCTTGGCACAGCTGTCCCCAACTCAGCCTTCCCTCCCCGCTGCCCACTTCCTACCGCCAAGCTCTGAGAGTCAGTTGTTCTCGGCTCACGCCCATGATCTCTGCTCAACTTCGCAGACTTCTCTCTCACCCAGACCCCGGAGCACAGAGGAAATGACAGTCTCGGGACCCCTCGACCCCTGACAGCTACCAGAGCCTGGAGGGTGAAGCCACGCTTGAGACCAACGGGAGAGGTCATGGCTGCCTGAGGAGGGGTCTGCGTGTACGTGTCTGTGTGAGCGGCGGCCAGAGACAGGGGCCCGGGGCCCACACCTGACTGCTCTCCACCTCATATTTTGAAATGGGGTCTCTCGGTGACGCTGGGAGTCACTAATTCAGCTAGACTGGTTGGCGGGAGAGCCCCGGGGATCCTCCCGTGTCTGCCTCCCCAGCGCCAGGTTATTTCCACACACCCAGCCTTGTCCGGGGGTGCCAAGGGTCTCAACTCAGAAGCCCGGGGTTGTTTGCCCAGCGCTCCACTGTTCCGCCACACCCCGGCCCTCACTTCTTTTTGACGGAAAGTCTTGTTCTGTAGCTCAGGCTGGTCTGGGACTCCAGATTGTTCTGCTACTAGGCACAAAGAAAGGATCTGTTGAGGCTTGACAGTCTGAATGTTTGTGCCTCGCGGCAGACCTAGGACAATTTAAGTGGGGCAGATAGGACAATGGCCTCTAGTTATCCAGGTCTCTAACCCAGAGCCTGGGGATCTGTCTCTTTCTCTAGTTACAAGAAACTATCCAGCTAAGGACCTTCAAAGCCTTGGGTGTGAATCCATCCCAGGCTGAGGCAGGAGGATGACAAGTTTTAGCCTGGGCTGCATGGAAAGACCCTGACTCAAAAATCAAACAGGGCCAGTCAGGTGTGGTGGCAGACACCTTTAATCTCTGTGATTTCAAGGCCAACTTGATCTACAGAGTGGTTGGGGCCAGCCAGACATCAACAACAACAAAATCCAGAAAACAAACAGAGCCACAGGCATAGTCAGATGTCAGAGTGGCAGGAAGCCCTGGGGTCCACCCCGCGGACCCGGTAGACAGCACTCAGGACTGGGAGCCAACTGCTCTCCCGCCCCACCCTGGGAAGACTCGGGGAGTCCAAGGTCATCCACCCCTACATTTCAAGGCCAGCCTGGGCTACAGGAGACCTGTTCCCACGTTTTCTTTCTTTGACTGGACCTGGACCACTCCTGTCTAACTTGCTGAGTTGGAAGGCGGATCCCACAGCTGCAGGCTGCCCCTGCCAATGGCCAGAAGGAAGCCAGCCAGGCAAGACGCAGAGCCGGTCGGGGCCATAGGTACCTGCTATGGCATCAGAAGTCCTGGATTCAGCCATGCCTGCAGTCCTTCCCTGTAAGCCGAAGTCAGTAGATAGTAAGTTTCTACAGCATTTCCAGAGGGTTGCTCTGCATTTCATTCAAATGGAGTCTTGAGGGCACAAAGTGGCGGCTTCTTAGGGCTCTTGGGGAGCCGTGTCCTGGTGCTTCTGCTTCTAGGATGTGGGTTGTGGCTCTCTGCAGGACGTTCCAGGCCCCACACTCTGGAGATGAGAATGTGACAGCTTCCCTCTCCAAGTAAGAAGGATAAGTGATGTCAGAACCAAGGCACAGCCTGAAGACTCCACAGTGGCTCTCCCTAGCTCCACACCACCATGACTCCCTAAAGCCATAGAGCAACTCCAGGTCTACCCACCTAAGTTCCAGGCCCCTCCTGTTCACACTCTCATGTCAGCCCCTTCCACATAAACTCACCCCTGTCTGATAAGGATGCCGATCTTAAAACAAAAACAGGTTTATTTTAAATTATCTGTATGTGTGTATCTGTGGGTGGTATTTACGTGGGTGTGCAGATACCCAGGGGCCAGAAGAGGGCGCCAGAGCTCCTGGAGCGGAAGTTACAGGCAGCTGGGAGTCACTTGATGTGAGTGCTGGGAATTGGATTCAGGTCCTCTTCAAAAGCTGTATGTATTGTTATCCACTGAGCCGTCTCTCCAGCCCAAGGGACTCGGGCAGCCGCGTCTATTACAGAGAGCAGGCCCTGTCCTTGGTGACGACAGTGAGTCCTCGCTAGTTGAAAATGGCCGGCCGGTGCCTTCACCACCCCTCTTTCTAGCCCCCGGGCAGCACGACCCTGTGGCCCAGCTCTGGCCAAGGACAGGATGGATGACTCCCAGCGGATGGAGTGTCCAGCCTGCAGCAGCTGCACAAGCGAGGCCTTCTGTTCGCTACAGTAACAAAGTTGCAGGCTTTATTTTCCATTTTACCCAGAGAGTTCCGGGGACTAATCCCAGAGTCGTGCTGCACTGAGACCCAGTTTGTTGGGGCTCCGAGCGAACTT